CGAGCGCCGCGCGGGCACGAACCCGACCCCGCTGTGGCCCGGAGCCGCGCTGGCCGCGACGACACTCGCCTCCGCAGCCGGCGGGGCGGACGGCTACGAGATCAAGGTCGATCAGGCGGAGAGCCAGAGCCTACTGATCCTCGTGCTCCCGGTCAGCCTGGTGACGTGGGCGGCGGCAGCGGGAACGCTGCTCGCGGCGGCGCTGCTGGGGGCCTTTTGGCAGCACAGGCGGCAGCGAGGGTGGGCGAGCAGCCAGCGGGCGCGGCAACAACCGCAGGGCCCGCAGCCCCTGGGCGAGCCTGCCGCGCGCGGCGCTGATGGCAACTACGCTAGCAACGGCAGCGGGGGAGACACAAGGCCAGGAGATGGTGGCGGTCGACGGCCGAACCCAGGAGGTCACACTCCGCTGGGAGCCGCAGATGGGCACGGTGGCTATCGTCTTCCAGGTGGAGACGGCGCTGAAGGTGGCGGCCATGATCGTGGTGCTGCTCGCAGCAGGCATCGGGGCGCTTTACTGCTGCTGCTGCTGCGGGACGGCCAAGAGGGGCAAAAAGGAGCCGGAGCACGAGGCACAGCGGGCCGCCGCGCAGCCAACGCCTAAGGCGCCCAAGCCCCCCAAGCAGCCGCGGAAGACGTATTGCGACGCGGGAGCGATGGGCCCGGTGCACTACAACGGCGTGAGGTACGCGCACGAGACCCAGGGCTTCCGCCGGGCCAACGAGGTGACGCGGGAGGTGGCTTCGTCAGGGTACCGCGTGCCACTGGGGTGGCCCCAAAAAGGAGAACCAAGGCCGCACCGTGACTGAGGTGCGAGGCTGCCGCAGGCCAACGGCCGAGCGGGCAGCAGAGGTCCGCCGCCGGCACCCGCCGTGCGAGCGGCCGCGCGGCGCGGGCTGAGTTCAGCCTGGCGCTCGCGATCAGTTTTGCGCTTGCGAGCAGCTGGGCGCGGGGCAGCGGCGGCTGGGCGCCCGAGGGCAACTGGCGCCGCGCTGGCATGGCAGCTGGCAGTGCCGTCAGGGGGACGGCGGTGGCGGCTACCGGAGGCGCCGGCGGCCGGCCCAGCCGGGGCTGCCGCGCGTGGCGCACGAAAAACCACCGTGGGCGCCGGCGGCGTGCCGCCCTGCGCCCGCGGACCGACCTTGCTGGGCAGACGTGGCAGCGCGCCGCAGATGCCAGGACTGATGAGTTCCACGCCGAGAGGACCGGCGGCCACGTGACCCACTACTGCCAGTTCGGCGTGGTGGTGCGATCACAAAGGGAGGTTGGCGGCGTGGCCCGCGACGCGTGGCCAAAGACAGGCGCCGGCGCAGCGTGCGCCGGGCGCCGGAGGAGCAGCACGGCTCCCTGGCAAAATCATCGTCGTCTGAGCGCCTCATCCTTCCCCCCTTGAGCCTCACACTCACTAGGCTCAAGACGTTTTAGTTTACCAGTGCTGCTTGAGGGGATATCTAGGATGTTTGATAAAACTGATGGATCTACCCGTTTTCAGAACTGGCGCGGGCTTCTACTTGCGGTCCCCTTGCTCCTGCCCTTGCCTCCTTGCTTGCCCTCTCCTGCTTCTTCCCTACTTTCCGCCGCCTGGCGGCTCAAGCCTTTTCAAAGGCCAAGCTGGCCCACCCTGGGGGCCTGACAGAGGCCCCCTTCCCGCCCTGTTCTGGACTTTTCGGCGCCGCCGGTGCGCTATCACCCGGGTGACTCCAACCTAAGACCCATGGAGGCCCAACCGGAAAGAAAAAAAAATGGGGCGCGCCGAAGAACCCAGGGGGTCCGGTTTCCGCGGAGGAAAGAAAAAAACCCTGGCGATGGGGTTCGAGCACGGGGGTTACCCCCCCCTCAAATTCCGGAAGAGGAATGAACTCCCAGCCGCGGGGGTGCCCGCGCGAGGGGCCCCACCCCCCCAAGCGCAACCAGAGGAAGAAAAGCGTGGGAGCCGAGACTGTAAGTGCAATGCAACAACACCTTAACCGGTTGCACTAGGGATTTGTGCATTAGTACGGGAACAACTGAATTACAGCCGGTGAGGTTTGGGTTCGGGTTCGGGCTTATATATTGGGAACCCAGTATATTGGAAACGCAATATATTGGAAACTCAATATGTTGGAAACCCACTATATTGGAAACCCAATATATTCGAAACCCAATATATTAGAAACCCGACATATTGGAAACCCAAAATATTGGGAACCCAATATATTAGGAACCCAACGAGTTGTACGGTAGTCGGAGGGGTTCAGGGGTTCCAACGGCAACGCGCGCGGGGAAGAAGGAAAAAAATCCATGCGCCGCCAGGGGTCCCGGGTTTAACGGGTCGCCGCGAAGGTTGACCCCCCGCGGAAAGAAGAAAAGAAATCCGGCCGGGGGGTTGGGGGGGTGAGGGATGAGTCACGGGGGCGATGGTGCGCTAGGGCGCCTCGGCGGCGGCGTGGCCCGCGACGCGTGGCCAAAAATAGGCGCTGGCGCAGCGTGCGCCGGGCGCCGGAGGAGCAGCACGGCTCCCTGGCAAAATCATCGTCGTCTGAGCGCCTCATCCTTCCCCCCTTGAGCCTCACACTCACTAGGCTCAAGACGTTTTAGTTTACCAGTGCTGCTTGAGGGGATATCGGGACCTTCGGTCGAGCTCCCTATGGGGCCATGAAACGCTGTACTGGGTGCGCGGGACGCATGCGGACGGTAGCCCTGGGACCTTCGGTGGGGCTCCTTATGGGGCCACGAAGCGCTGTACTGGGTGGGTGAAACGCAGGGAGGGAGGAGGATGGGGCTACGAAACGCTGTACTGTGTGTGCGGGACGCATGCGGACGGTAGCACTGGGACCTTCAGTGGAGCTCCCTATGGGGCCACGAAGCGCTGTACTGGGTTGGTGAAACGCAAGGAAGAAGGAGGAGGGGGAGAGGGGAGGAGGGGGAGGAGGAGGAAGGAGGAGGAAGGAGAGGAGAGGAAGGAACGCGGGGACCGTTTCTTCAAAACGAGGACCCAACACCACAGGATACTTGGGACCCCCCCAAAAAAATCCTGAGGTTTCTCTCCGGGCAAACTTCTGAAAAGCCGCAGACAAAGCAGCGAATTGCTTTTTTGTTTGCTTTGCCCCGGGAGGGTCCCGGGAATTGCTTCTGAGTATTGATTTTCATAGTGGTGCCCCCAAACCCCCGAAAAAACCTAAGAAAACCTGAAAAGTTTGGTTTTTGTTTCAAGTGTTCCCCCTCCTGGGAAAACCTCAGAAAGAACACCGGAACACCCTAGATTTTGAGTTTTTGTTGGTGGGTTCCCCCCCGGGAAAACCCCCTAAACACCCCCGAGTTAGGAGTTGTTTTCGGGTGTTCCCTCCCCCCGGACCGCCCCCCAAAAAAAATATATGCAAAAACAAGAAAAGTCTCCAATGGGAAGTTCCCAGTAGGGGGTTCGACGAACTGCCACACCCAACTGGCGGTGACTGTCTCTTCAAAACTAAGACCCAACACCACAGGATGATTGGGAAATATGTTCATGCCCCTGCCGTGCAGCCGTGCTGTGCCGCCGACAGTGCGTGCGTGCCCTGCCGTGCGTGCCGTGCCGAGAGTGCCGTGCCGAGCGTGCCGTGCAGCGCTGCGCGGGCCGCGGTTTGCAGGCCGCTGCCGTGGGCGCCGCAAGCAGGACGCGTACCTCGGACCCCAGTTCCGGCAGAAGAAGCGCAGCGCCGAGTTCTCGCTCGCTGGGGCCGGAGGGGATCCCCCGCCGCTTGCACCCAGCAACAATCTGAGGCCCCTGCGCGGAGAGGAGGGACAGTCGGGGTGCGCCAACTACACACCTACGCCAATGCTGGCCAAGCCTATCCTGGGGCCCGGATCGGTGAATACGCCCGCCTGGCCTGGAGGGAAAGGCATGTTCACCAACCTGGCGTAGGTGCACAGCTGCCGCCCTCCGAAACAACGCGAGGCTGCTGCTTCAGCTCTTGCTGCTGCTGCTGTTGCTGCTGTTGCTGCTGCTGCTGTTCCTCCTCCTCTTCTCCTCCTCCTCCTCCTCCTCCTCCTCCTCCTCCTCCTCTCCTCCTCCTCCTCCTCCTCCTCCTCCTCCTCCTCCTCCTCCTCCTCCTCCTCCTCCTCCTCCTCCATGTGCGTCCTACTGAACGCAGTTCGCTGAAGCTCGAGTGTGCAGAGCTCCGAAATGGGCACCGTTTCCCAGGCCGCCTGTGTGGCCCATGGCTTTGGAAGGCCATAAAAAAGAATACCAGAACAGTCGTCATCCACGATAAACAAGCTATATGCGAAGTGAACCGAAGTGTCCAATATTTTCGGGAGAGGGGCGACGCGAAGCCGTTCGGCGCGCCTCGTCTGCAGGCGCGAAGTGGACCTTGTCCGTGCCCCACTTCTTCTGCCAGCGCTTGTACCTGCAACAAGAGTGGAGTACATGGAGCGCGACTGCGACTTCTGTGGAACGCCGCGAGGGCGCTGCATGGTGGGGCCGAAACACCCAAAAAACAATATACATAATGACGGGCACGCACCTATAGCAATGCCGTGGTGAACCAAAACCGCCTTTCGTTCCTCGAAAAAGCGCGGACAAGACAAGGGAAGACACGAAAGGACAGGAGAGGACACGGAACGCGTCGAGAGGACAGTGGGCGCGTCGAAAACCGCACGGTGGGCAATCACCTACTTGAAGCAGCCCAGGGACGCGGCGTGCTTGCCCGGCCCTTGCCGATTGGGAAGACCATCCCTGCCCCGCGCCCTGCTCCGACAAGGCGCGGCCAGGCTTTTCTTCCACACGCGCGCACCGAGTATGTGCGCGTGCTCAAAACACTGAAGCGCAGTGGGACGTCCGCTGCCTCTCCTCGGGCCTCGCAGACGGCACGTCCCCACCCCCCCGACCCCCCCTGCGCCGCCAGAGCATGTCCACATCCCTTGCCGCGGGGTCGTGGCATAGAATTTCGAAGAGCGATGGATATGGCTATCCACCACCCTTGGAGATCCCAAGGCGCGACTCCGCGGCTGAGGACATGAACGCACCGTGGCCCCTCGGAGGGTCCCATCATTCCGACAAGTATGGACTCAGTTTCTCGGCTTCTCGGTCGAAGTCCCGCTCGTGCAGGCCTAGGTGAGACCAGGGCGCCTTGGTAGCGCGACGGGCGAGCCTCAGAGCTCGAGATGCCTTGGCACACCTTCATGTCCAGGACGTGAACAACGGGAGCATGGCATTACAGTCAACCCGTACAGTAAGGATGCTCGATAAGGGTGCAAGGGCCTTGGAAGCCCATTTCGAAGTTTTTCGAGCGGGGCGCGGCCAACGAAGGTGGCCAAAGATGGACCGAGGAGGCAAGGATGCAAGGGTTCCTTTGGGAAGGTTAACCATCATTACTACGCGGGTTGACTGTATTCACCTTGGTGCGGCGCGGTGGTGGCGGGCGGAAGGGCGCGCGAGAAAGAGGCCCGCGCTGGGGCGAGAACGCCATCCTGAACGACGGAGGCCAAACACCGATCCGAAAATGAGGCCCACGCTGCAGCGGGAGCACGATTCGGAACGATTCGGGAGCAGAAATGAGGCCGGCGCCTCAGCGAGAGCAGCATTTTGAAAAAAAACGCAAGCGAAAACCCAACTCCCGGGAATCCTGTGTAAAAAAACAGTACGCGGGGGGGGGTCTAATACTTTCAGGCCGCCATCGGGGGAAGAGGGAGAGTAGAATTTACATTGAGTAATTGTGGAGGAGGAGGAGGAGGAGGAGGAGGAGGAGGAGGAGGAGGAGGAGGAGGAGGAGGAGGAGGAGGAGGCTTGGCTCGGCTTGGGTTGGCCCTAAAGGCAGTCGCACAAAACTAGCCCCCGAAGAGGGACCCCTCGTCAGAGCTGGGGCCCTCGGGAGCCCCGGCAGCGAGCTGGATCGCCCGCCGCCCCGATTCTCGCACAGTTGGCAGATCGCCAGCCTCCAGGCCGAAGGCTCGGAACACCTCTCCCCGCCCGCCCGTCCCGCCTCCGCCCCACGACGACTTAGCACGGGCGGGTGCCTTGGCTCGGTCCGCCTCTGCCGCCTGGCTGGCGCGGCTGGCACGCACAGCTGGCAGCACGCCGTGCGGCCGCTCTGGCTCCAGGTGCTTCGCCCCATGCCTGCAATGGGGGAACTCACCCTTGGAAATCCTCCTGAGCTGGTCCTGGGCCCCACTCCGAACGTGACCAGGGCAAGCCGACAAAATCGCAGGCGTGGACTTCCCATCGGAACACACTGCCCCCACAGCGGCAGCGAAACAGGAGGAACCGCACCTTCGGGTTCGTGCCTTGAACTGAGCACTGCAACAGCAGGTGTGTTCGCCAACGAAAATTTGCTCGAGAGAACTCCCCCCGCCCAGCCCCCGCACCCACGTCCGCCCCTAGACCCTCGTATTCCTTGGGCACCTCCTGGTCGGGAGCTGCATCAGGCTCCGCATGGCTGGCGCTGTTCACCATGCCAGGCTTCCGAGCCAAGTGCTGCGCGACAAGGTCCTCGTGGTCGCGATCGTCGACTCTGAGATGCGCCTCGACTGCCCAGGCAGCAGCAGCCTCCTTGGCACACTCGGCCAGACCACGCCGCAGCTCGTAAAAAGTTGCATCGGCTCCGTGGGCCGCAGCCCCTTGCTTGGCGAACTCGTCGGCCGCGCCGTTGGCGCGGTGCTCCCACTCTGTGGTGAGGCCTGCGTCCACCTGCGCCTTAGCGCAGTGCGCCTTAATCTTAAACACCTGGAAATCTGAGCTCTGGAAAGCACCTCAGAACTGACCCCACAGGTGAGCTCGCATGTTCGACGACCCCGACCCCCCTCCCTCCCCGCGCCGAGCAGTGCTGACCGCCCCAGCGCAGTCAACATACAGAGAGAAAGGGGGCATCGCAACTTGCGTCAACATATTGAGAGCGAAATCCTCAGCGCCCCGAGCCTGTTGCCTCGGCGCCGCAGCACGCGGGACGGGCCCAAACGCTGCCGCCTGCGCACGGCCTAGATTATCTACTTGGACAACAGACCAGCCCGCACGGGCCAGGTAGGGGCAGTCGGCCCAAATGGTCGAACCGTCCGTAAAACCCGTTCAGTAGGCCGTGCTCTGGCTTGTTGTGCCAGCTGATGGTGACCTCGGGCCCCTCTGGGACCTCAACCAAGGCCTCTGGGCCCGGGAACAAGCCACGCACGAACCTCTCGCCCTCGCCGAAGCCCCAGTCCTGAACCTTGCGGGCCCTACCCATCAAGAAGTCCGAGACACCTTCACGACGATGAACACACAACGCTGGGCAACCGTAGGCCGGGTACCAGAGCGACCCGTCTGGGCCCCCACATAATAGGCGCGCCCCAGACTCCGCCAGCCCATGCTTGAAGAGCCTGCGCTGAGGCCAGTGCCCGCCAGAGATGAGCGACCTGAGGGGCCTCTGCCGTCTTCTCGCCCAGCCCCTCCCCATCCGACACCTGGAGCAGCAGCGGGATGAGGGATCTCCAGAACAGCGGGGCGCACCACTTAGCTTCGGGCCCTCGGACTCTGAGGCCCTGTCGGCCCGGTGCCCGCTGAGCCCATTCCTCGGCCAAGGTCCCGACAAAGGCAGGGGGGATCTTTTTCAGCTCGATCTTCACGCCCTCGTCCGTGACAAGGGCGTGGCATTCGTTGGACTTCCAGCCGGTCCTCTCCAAGCTGAGGACAACCACTTCTGCGGGCGACGCAGCCGCCGCCCGCGGCGACGAAAGGCTCGCCATCGTTTGCACGCCGCGCCCAGGCATGCCTGCAGAACACCTGACTGCGGAAAAGCTTCCCAGATCGCCTGCGCCCACATCAAAACGATCTGGCCGATATTCAAAATCAGGGGGCCCACGCGAGGGCCTTCCTTGAAGCTGCGCATCCTAAGGCTCACAGTAGTCCCTTTTGGCACGCGCCCCAGACCGCCCACAGCTCCAAGACGCAGCCCTTGCATGTGAGACGGCGGGGCCCCCATGATGCTGGACCCCCGCAGGGCCGAGGCCGTTGGGCCCGCGCGCTGGACCCGCGCAGTTTTGGTCCCAGCCCTCCGAAGATGCCGCAACCTCGACGTCCTCCTCCTCGCTCCTTCCCACCTAGCTCTGGCGACTCCAACCCGACGACGGGCTCCCAGGGGCGCGTCCGTCCCCGAGTTACGCGAGGAGGTGACCCTGGAGCTTGAGGGAATGCTCCAAGCCTGCTGAAGCTTCTCGTCGAGCTCGGAACTGCTGCACAAATGCTTCGACTTCGACGAGACGGGCAACCCCAGCTGCTCGAAACTGGCGAAAAAGGATTCCGCGCCGCCTGCCAGCTGGGTCACTACCACATCGGCTTGGGCCGCGATCTGCAGCGCGACGTCATCTATCACGTTGCGGGTCGCCAGCTGAGGTCGGCCAAAATGCGCGTGAGACAGAGGACTCAACAAGAGAAGCCGTGCTAGCGTGGTCGCTGCCGACCACCCTGCAATAGTCGAAAGTGAGCCTGGTAGGTCAAATAGCATCCGTCTCCATGGGAGGCGGATGAGCTCACATTGCATCCAATTCCATGTCGAAGGAATACGATATGGGGAGTGGATGGGTAGGATAGGATAAGATCGATGTATCGGTTTTTCTAGCACATAGCGAACACTACGGTAAGTGTCCGGCCAAATAGGGCGCGCGTGCCTTGAGCCAAAGGCAACGGCGCGCGAGCTATACTCCCGGTACTATAACATCTCCCAAAGAGCTACCCTTAAAGTCGGGAGGGGAGGAGACGGAGAGTATAGCTGCGCAACCGTTAGGCTCTACAAAGGCCGCGCGCGCAACTGTTTGCAAGAAAAACAGCGTGCACAGTCTGGCCTAACACCAGACTGTAAGGCGAGTTTCCTCGCAAAGCATTTCACGCAAATCCGAGATAGCCCCTTCGGACGATGAAGGGCCATCGGCTCAGCTAGAGGTAATCCAAACGGGCCGTACCTCACCGAGCAAGCGGGTATGAAGGCAAAGAGCCTGAATCATATAAAGCCGGCTCGTTGCCAGGCGTGAAATGTAAGGCTCGTTTCCGAGCGCCTAGAAGGTCGCCTCTGTAATAGGCGCCCATGTTGGCAAATTGGACCGCGGGGGCAACAAGGACATACTAAAATTGATTAGATTTGGGTTTGTTTCTGTCCTCGGGACCCCGAAAGGGAACAAACTGCTTCACGTCATACTTAAATGACTGAGTGCCTGACATCACTTCCAAAAGCAGCTCCCGATCGATGCTTCCCTTTGTATGCCCATCTGCGGTCATATCTATAGTGTCACACCACTGCACATTATGTACTTTACCTATATCCATGAGCTCACGTATCCAGCTGATATGTCCAAGCAGTGTCAGTTCTGTCGGTATCTTAAGATCCTTGCTTGATAACGATTTATAAACCGACTCGGCGTCTATGGTAAGAGATACTCTAATGGCTAGGCCCCCGACTTCACGCATGTCACGTAGTTGTCGTGGATGCAGAGCCCCTGCCTTGAGCTCGTGGAGAGTGATGAGCGTAGGGTAACACTCATCGAGGTTATGTGCAGCTGCGAGCGCCTCCGCAGCATAGCTGGACCTCACCTGCAGTCGGTGTGATTTGCATAGTCCGTCACAGAGGTGAACGACGGATTTGCCTTGAGGCGAGTTTCCTCGCCGTAGTACGTTGGCCCCGCGTATGCCGTAGCCCTTGGTCTCATCGCCCTCCTCCCGGTGGGCTTCCCATACCCCGAATCGCTGTGTATGTCAACTTCATTCGTCGGCTTCATCCGAGGGAAGGTGATGCGTTTCGGGCTGCTGATCAGCTTTCGCGTCACAGCATTCAGTCGTCTGACTTGTAGGTTGATGGGCTCTTGGATTTTTTGGAGAGAGACCACATATACCATGGGCCAGATTTGAGAAAAGGATGGCATAGGCGAGGGCTCCTCGCAAGCTGACGAACATGTCGGTAATGAGTTTCGTGGCTTTGGCATCGGCCGCCGCTCCTGTAAGTTCTGGGTGTGTGATAGGACGTAGTTGTTTGATATACTCGTCCTGATCCATGATCACATCCCCTTGGTCATTCTTAGTGTAGCGAACGGCGCAGTTAGTATATGAGTGTTTGTTAAGCTTGCATTCGCCAAACACCTTTTCGACACGTTGTACATAGTCGTCTATATTTTCTCTAGGTCTGTCATAAATATCATCGACATGTTTTGCCGTTAGCAAATCTTGACTGAACTCAAACTCAGGATCATAACTGGTCGGTGTAAGGCCTATAGCTCGTGTGGTCGTACGAAGTTGGAGAGAGAACGCTCTTGGGGCGTCCTTTGTACCCGTTCCTGGCTTGAGGCACCTGAGGCAGTGTCGGCTTTCGTCATAGGATGAAAAGCCGGGTAGTGCACGAAGTACCTGGGCACTTCCCGCTGGAAGGGTGAAGCAAACCATGCGAGTTTCCTCGCCGGTGGCATGGGCAAGTTCCTCATAGGTCAGACCCTTGAGGAACGCTTTGTCGATGTCCATGGATGCTAAGATCCACTCTGGATGACATGCCGCCTTACTTGCCAGGAGTCTCTGGGACTGCCTTCGGGCGGTTCCCGAGAAAGTTTCCACATCGGAAGCCTCAGTGTCCATATATCCACGAAGGACAAGTCTGAGACGGATGGTTTTAACGTTCTCGGTACCTACCTTTACAAACTTCCACTTATATACATACCTGGATGTCATGATGTTGGAAGCTTTGGATGAATCATACATCTCAAAGCATCGGTTATCAATCCAGATTTTGAATTCAGTGTACAAAGCTTCACTAACCTCTTTGGGGTGTGCTGCTATGTCGGCTTTGGTGAGTAGGTCATCTTCCTTGACTACCACAGCACGTTTAGCAGCAGAGGATACACATACTCTCATCGTTGCGACCATATCAGTGTCGAGCTGTGCAAGTTGGGTCTGATCCAACACTACCTTTGACATTTCTGATGTAAAACATAACTCAACATAGGGACCATATTCATCACTACCAAGAGAGTAGCTCTCGTCAGGTGTGGTTGAGCAGAGAGAGACTAGACAGGACTCTTGTGGTTCAGGCTCGTCTCCGAGCGTTTCCGACCATACGATATCTTCTTCGTCCACAGATGCTGAAACCAAAACACACTGGTCGGGCAGCATGGTTGTTGGGACGCAGTAAAGATAATCGTCGGTAGTTGTCGTGGGATGAAGGTCCATACGTAACTCGTCGTACCATTCTTCCAGCATCATAGCTTCGATATTATGTTCTTCGTTTTCTTCATAGATTGTCGACAGACGGCCTTCACTCGGCGATGAAGCACCTGGGGTATCTGGTGGAGGCCTGTTTCCAGGCGAATCGTGTTCTCCAGACGTGGTGCTTGAGTGCTGATACTTGGCCAGGTCGTCGTGAAATCCTAAGGAAGGGACACGTGAAGTCAAGCATTGGATAAGTCTGGAATGAGTGCTACCAGTGATTTGAGACACGTTCAGGCCAGTGCCCACGCACTCATAGTAGTGGAAGGCTGGGCTGAAATCGCTGTCGTAATGGATCAGCGTAGGCCCGGTGGCGTACTTTACTGCAGGTAGACTTGACACACTTTTGGCCAATCTAACTGCTACTACGTGTTCTACTCGGAAAAAAATTCGCACGAGGTACTGTAGTGCTAGATGTACGCGCGGGTGAAACTTGCTGTCGTCTGAAAGATTGAGGTTTCCCTTGTAGTCTGGGATGTAGCCGAAGACTTTGGCAGGTTTCCCTGCACCGAGGTGTGCCACATACGTAAGGACGGTCTGCATGGCCATATTATCCATGCCAAGTTCCCGTGTGAGGAGACATTCAATGTATAGTGTGTGACGAGCATCAGGATACATCACAATTACCTCACGAGATCCTGCCTTGACAACAATATGTCCTCTTTCAGGCACGTTACGGATCACAGGGAACGGGTCGTTCCAGCCTCCATGATCGCCCTTAGTGGCAGTGGGTCGATGGTGGTCGACCAGATCCCCTGCTGAGTAAAGGCGGGCACCATCTTGAGCAGTTTTAGCCCTGAGAGCACGATTTGTCTTGGCCACAGCAGTGGCTTGAATTATGGCTTCTAAGCTAACTTCCCTCACGCGACGTCCCCGTTCGTGTCCTGATGTCTCGGGTCCCTTGGGAAAGTCAAGGGTGTCGAGGTCAGGAAGACAGGAGGGCTGACGTCCAGTGTGTGCTTGGTATGGCGATACTCCGTTGTAAAACGCGAAGGCGTTGGTAACGAAGATGCCTTCAGCCAATACTCTAGTGAATACAACAGGGATGTTGTGTCTATTCAGCTCTTCCTCAATCATGTGGAGGACGCCCCTGAGAATACCGTTTCGTGACTCAATTGAAGTCGCATGTTGGCCAGGCGCTCGGATACGGAGTTCTGTACCCTTATTAGCCATCATGTCCTTAGCGGTATCATTGTTCAGGGCGCCTTCTCCGTCTGAGTATAAGACTTTGAAGGGTCCATGATAGGCAATCCAGCAGTAGTGGTAGGCGTCAAGTATAGCATCACGTTCTCTGTCGGAGATCTCTTGGCCTGCTGCCAGGCGAATACAGCGATCCATACTGTGAAATATGGTTCGTTTCTTGTAAAACATGAGATCCATTTCGCCTTCATCGAAGGCTCACCGAAGGTAATGTTGAGTTCCCTGGACGTTCCCATGCTCTGCATTCCCGACAGGTATCGCAAACTTCTTTGACCATATTCAGTCGAACGTTGTCCAGTCCCACTTTGTCTAGGATTAGCCTCATCTTGGGTTCCTTCCCATGATACCACCGTAGGTGCAGTTTACGGAGTTCCTTTTTAACGACGTGAGGTTCATGACTACGGAGATTTTGCAGACTGCGTTGGATGTCAAATCTCGCCCAGTCGGGAAGTCGTGGAGCCCCCGAGCCGGTGGAGGCAAGGGGGTTCCTTGTAGCTCTCCGCAGTCGGTCTCCTTCGTCAACTGCATCTGGTGGTGGTGGTACGCCTTGTAGGCGGCCACGACGGGCCGCTACCTGTGGCGGTTCGCCAGAGGACGCAGAAGGCGTGTTTCCACGCTCGGGGGCGTCTCGTAGCATGTCGTAACTGCTGGCACCAGATGTCGGATCAGCGTTCCCGAAGGATCGTGGTCGCGGTGGCCTGGCGCGTGCGCCTTGGCGGCCACCTGACGCTGAAGCTTGGCCCTCACCAGGTTTAGGTAAGGGTTCCCACCAAATTGGCACAGTCTTACCTTCGGGGTCGTGGTCATCTGGAAGTTTAAATGGTTCAGCAAAACGACATCTACCAGGTTCGGTATCGAGGTGGTTCTTAACACCTTTGCTTCTCGTAAGATCCCTCTGGCATGCGGGGCATGGCCAATATACAGAGATGGAATCATGATACTTACACTGCGTAGGGTCTCTGTTTTGGCTAGGACTGTCCTTTCGGACGTTGTCGATGCATGCCGGGCATGTAGCCACCTTTGGGATGATACGATCACCGATGCGTCTCATACCTTCGCCTGGTTCGGCTTGATCAGGAAGGTCAGCAGGGTATGCATGCGCAGTACTTGTAGGCGCGTTTCCGCGCGTAGTGTCAATGGCTTTCGCCAAGTAGACGGCTTCCACAAAGGCAGACTGCAGTCGTCGAGTGTATTTCTCTCTGTTGCACGGTTGTGCGTGCACATGCTGACCGTTGCATTTGAGTCGCTCAAAGGGTTTAAACATCGTCTCGTCGTTGCTGGTGATATTTGTCGGCCGTTAAT